GGCAGGAGTTATGGCCATCACCTGCTACCGACTGCGCTCCGCTCAGCAGCGATAACTCAGTGCTGGAGCTGCCCAGGCAAGGTGGTAGCTGACAACAGGGGGGTTATGGGCTCTGAAGGGGACTTTGTTAGTGATGACCTCGGGAGAATTTGGTGCCAGGAAACACTGGAAGCTTGTTGTGCTTATTACAGGAAGGGAAGTGATGTGATTGGCAAAGGTGGGAGTACGCTGTCCCTGCAGGTCCCTGTGCCATTGCAGCGAGTGGCAGCTTCGGTCCTTACTAGAGCTCTGGGTCCTCTGAGTGTCCCCTGCAGTGCCTCAGCCCTCTGTCTCATGCTCACCACTGAAGGGAAGGGGTGCAGTGCTGTGGGAAGATGAGACACGATAAAATCACAACTCTATTGGGTCTGCCCAGGGATAAGCTGTGCCTCAGTTTCCCTGCAAAACCTGCTTGTGACAGCCTGCCCCAAGGCAGAAAGGCAGCTGGGGCATGGGCACTGCGCTCAGCTCTTCCTCTCAACATTGAAAAGGCGATGCTGAGCCCTGAGCATCCCCAGCACTGAGGGCCAAGGCCCCGCTTCGGGGCTGGGCTCAGCTCAGCAGCTGAATCAGCAAATAATTAGCAGGACCAGAGCCGGGGGATTAGCATCCCTCTCCTCTCCAGCTATCCAGCATGGCTTAACCCTTTCATCCATGTGTCTTCCAAAGCTTTGGGGTCCCTGGGGGATGCTGTTGTTGGGCTGATGCCACTGTGGGGATGCTGTGGCCAGTGTCCTCTCACCAGAGCAGTGTCGTTGCCACAGTAGCAGCCATGGAGCCTGTGTATGGCTCCGGGTGAGCTGTCAGTCCCATGCCTGGCGGCTCGTTTGTTCACCTCCGGGCAGCCCGATGACAGCGCTTCCCTTTACTACCAGCTGCAAAAACCTGGCAGCTGATTTAGGAGAGCTCCCGGGGCCCAAAATGTAAACCGTTTTTCACCAGGAATGTATAAGCAAGCCATAAATAAGGGATTTGAGTCTGGTCACATGGGACAAAGCCTCCCATAAAACTGAAGCATTGATCTGTATTTTAGTGAGCAGCTTCGAAACTGCCCGGATGATTGAAGACCTGAGCTTTAACAAACTCTGTAATCTCCCACCATACATCTGAAGTGGCATGTTTGAAGTCTGAGGACGAGTTATTTATATGATTTGTATAATACACGGTGAAAGGACATTAGCCACAGCTCAAGCACCGGTGATGGGTACTGCTGCCAGAGGGATGCAGTGGCTCCATGTCAGTGCTGCCCTGCACATTGATACTCATGTGTGATAGATGAGGTGACCCTAAACTGCAGGATCTGGCCATGCTACTGCACAGCAATGCTGTCCTGGCTGCCCTGTGCCATCTGTAGCTGCTGGGCTGGGACTTGTGGCCATCTCCTGCCTTCCTGGCATGTGTTACCCCCTTTCCACTAGGTCACCCCCTTCTCAATGTCTGTCATTCCCTTAATGATGTCTGCCACCCCTTCCTAGAAACCTGCTCCTCTTATGTATCATGCTCTTCCAAGCATCTTTACAGCCACCATCCTGCTGTGTGTCACCTCCCTCCCAGCATATGTCACCCCCATCCTGGTATTTATCACCTCATTCCCAGTGTGTCATCCCTTCCTGACATGCATCACATGTTTCCCAGCATATGTCACCCATTTCCAGCGTGTCACCCACTTTCTGGGATGGATCACCCTGCTCCTGGTGTGTGTCCCCCTGCTCATGGAGGAGCAGGGAAAGCCACGTGGGGAAGAAACCCACTGCCACCTTTTCATTTCCATGGCCAACAGGAAATTTGTTTGAGAAGTGTATTTTCACTATAAAAGTGTAAATCTGGGGGTAAACAACATTATTTATAAATTCCAATCAAATCCTGGTGAGGCCAGAGGGGTGTCTGGGATATGGACTGAGAAAAGCCAAGTGCCATTTAAAACCATGACTTGCTTTTCCATGCCTGGGAGATGTTTCCTCTCAGCCCTAACTTCACTTACCTTGGACTTCAAGGGGTTAAGCAAAATACGGTTAAAAGCTGGAAAGTGTCTCCTCCAAACCCAAACCAAAGCAGGACAATTGGGGTCACCTAAAGCGTACCGCAACCTTTAGGTGAAGCTTCTCAGTAGCTGTACTGTCCCAAAATCTCCATGGTTCCCTATTATATAGATATGCATTTTGGGGACAGCTGTGAAACCCAAACCATCCGGTGCTCGCCACTTCCAAAAATCCAATTTTTCCATTTCCTGTTTATCTCTCTTGGAACATCAACTAATCACAATAGTTTCCCATGGAGGTTATCATCCAAACAACCAATAACCCCTGGAAAACCCCACAAGCTCCCTACCATGCGAGCCACAGCCAGTGCTGGTGCAGCAGTCCAGGTTCAACCCTCCTTCCCCACTGCAGGCTTCATGGATAGGTGGAAAACAGTGCAACCTTCAGCCTTCAGCAAGTATTCTGTGTCTCCCAGTGCTGGGCTCCCTGCCCTTGGCAGGATGATGGGAGGTGTGATTACTAAATCCCTTGCCCACTTATGGCAGGCTCGGAGCTCCAGCCCACAGCGAGGCATATTTGAAATGCTTTGGGCCAGATTCCTGTGCTGTGCAAGCTTTCCAAAGGTGACCCAGGAACCCCCCCTCCCTAAAATAGCCCCTGGCCATGACGCCGAACCCATGCTATTGGGGGGGTTCCTTGGGGTGGGCACTGTTATGCCTTTGGGAGCACTGGGATGGGGAGGACACAGGGGACAGGGTCTGCTTTGTCTCATAGAAGCAACCCTGAGCAGAAGAACCAGGGTGAGACAGCTAATGTGGGGTTTTGGGAGCTGTACACCATGGTCCAGGCATGGAGGGGTCTGGGGGAGCCACTATGATCCCTGTGGGGTGCATTGCTCCCATCCAACCAATGCTGCTGGAAAGGAAGCAAGTGAACACTTAAAAGGAGGCTTAAGTGTACAAACCTGATAAGGGATTACGAGGGTTATTTCTCACTCCCTTCCCAGTTACCAGATAGGACGGGGCTGGGGCTGCTGGAGAGGGGGCTGAGCTGTGGGGTGGGCAGGGGGCAGATCCCCCAGTGCTTTCTTCAGGGGGAAAAACACAATAAATGCCCGAGGTTTCACCACATGGGGAAATTATTAGGGCAGCTTTTTGGCAGGGGTCAGAGTGTCATTTAATAGCCCTGGCTTTAATGAGTGAGCGTGTGTGTGTTGTTGATGGCTGTGAAGTTCCCTAAACCAAGGGAAATCACTTCGGTTACCTGCTTCGCTTCCATGGACTGGCACAATCAGCATCTGGAAAGGACTGAGCCCATCTCTTCATCTGTCCTGGTAACCAAAACTCCTCTCAGTCACTCATTGCTTGACCAGAGTTAAGGATCAAACCTCATCTTGCAGGGAAATAAGACACATCAGCTTTAAACCCTCCTTACAGCAGCTATGGGGCAGGTTTTACACCAAACCTGCCGTGGTTCTCCGTCTGTGTGAAAAATCAGCTTTTGTTCAAAAAATACACATTTTAAAAGCTTTAAATGTGATCACTTAAAAAGGGGTGTGTGTGTGTGTAAATAATTCTAAGTCAGTCCCAGGAGCTTTGCTTGCCTGACTCACGATTAGGGTTTTTATATATATAAATATATATATATCTCACATCAGAAAACACTGTAAAACCCACTTTCAAAGCCTCAGAGGACCCCGGCCTCCTCTGAGTATTCAAAAGCATCAATTACATGAACATTACGGGCAGGATAGTTTGTACGAACCCTGTTAAAAAGTCAACCTTAGGCTTGTGCCTCTCAATCCCCTCGCTGCCCCCAGGGCTGGAGCTGATTTCTACCCGGGCTTTGGCACTAGGAAAGTTTCACTTGAAAAAATGTTGAAAAGCATTAAAAGCAGCCTGTATGCACTTATTATTGAGAAAATCCCACACAGATGGGCTGCATTGAACCCCCAGCAATTATTTTCTGCCTTTCTCGTGAGCTAATGAGATGATCAGAAGTCCCCGGCGGCCTTCTTTTGCCTGCAGACCTGTGCATCAACATCCTCCTCTGCAGTGTGGGGCTGGCACAAGCCCCTTTGCCAGCTCTGGTACCCCACTGAGAAAGCAGCAAAGGAAAACTCTTGGGTTTTATGGCTTTTTCAGGCCTGAACGTGTTTTGCTGTGCCTGCACATCAAGGACCCACAGGCTGTCCTATGGCATAAACAGGGGTAGCCAAAAGGAGAAAACAATCATTTTACCCTATATTAAATTGGGTTTGATGTTATGCTGCCAACAGGGACATGTTTGTCTCTATTGCTGCGCATGGGATGCGGGTGTTAAGCTGGGTCAGGGCACAGCATCATCCCCCATCACTCCCCCCCCAGCATCTCCCCACAGCAATGGGGAGCCCTGTTCAGGCCAGACTACCCATTGTTTACATCCCCCGGTGCCTCTGTGCCGCTGGGAGCCCTGCACGCAGCTGGGCGGGATGCACACTCACCCCTCTGGCATGAGCAGAGCAGAAGGTGGCTGAGCTCTGCGCCCTTATCAGCACCAGAGCCCTCATTACTGTCCAGTCTAATACTGCAGGCTTGGCCTGTACCTTACGGGCCTGATTCCCTTAGACAGAAGCTGTTATTGTCCAGATGAGGGGTTTGAAGTCTTGCAAACACAAACCTATCCTCAAAGGGAATTTCTTTCGCTGACACTTCCCGAGACAAAGAAACAATTCCTGCCTGTGCTTTCTGCAGATGGATCTGGCCTTTTTTCCTCCCCTCCTCTGGATATTTGCAGGGCTGCCTGCTCCTGCTTTCAGTAAGGAAAGGATTGGGGTGACCACCTCAGTGTGGGGCAGCAGGGCAGACCCCCCTGCATCCCATTTTACCACTGTGCTGGGATCTGTTTTACCAGCACTCTTCACACAGGTCTGGGCTGGATGTGGGTCCGGGCACTCACTTGCCAGCTGTTTCCCAAAATCTCTATTTATAACTGGGAAACAGCTGGACCATTCCTTAGTGCCCATTGCTTTCCTCCAGCGGGATATGAGGCTCCTGCTCTGGCTGGACTTGGCCGAGCAAAGCAGCAATGGGAAATCCCATGGCCTTTCTGCACTGTGAGTTCATCATATTGTAGCTTGTTAATGGTGCACGAGGCAAGAGCCAGCTCCCCACTCACAGAGCCCAGAGCAAGGCTCCTGCTGCCCACACTAGGATAAGAGCAGGCTCTTGTTCACCAGTGGAAACAGCATCTTAAAGAAGTAATCTGATCAGATGCAACTAGTTATTATAGCAGACTTGGTGACTTTAATGAGCTCCTGCACAGACTGGATTACCGTGGTCACTCATCCATAGTTCATTAGGGCTTCAGAAAGGAGATCCACAAGCACTCATGAAATACGACCTCCTAATCTCACCTAAAGCAGGAGAAGCCCGGCTATAAAGAAAACACCTTTTAAAGAGCCCACAGAGTGAATAAATCTCCCTCGTGCTAAAAGGCAACGAAAGCGGACCTGTGAGAGGAGGGGATCTGCTCGTGGGATGCGTTTTCCGTGTGCGCAGTTAAAAGAGTCCTCGCTTGGCTGGAGGAGCAGAGGTCCTTCTGGTTCTCATTGATCCAAAATATCTGTCTAATGGCTTTCTTGGGGTTCCTGGGGAAAAGGAATGAATGCTGCTTGGGTGGAGGAATGAGGCAGGCAGTTCTGCTGTCCCCGTGGGCTGCGGTGGGCAGAGAGCCAGAGGAGAAAGGTCTGCCCATCCTGGAGGGATGCCCAGTTTGTGTGTCCCAAATGCAAGGCTGGAAACATCATTTATGGACAAGCTGGTACCCATGCCCCTGAGCCTATCCCCAGCTGATCCCTTTCCCAGGAAGGGCAGCTTTGGCATCACCCCAGATATCTGCTCACAAGAGCAGATCACCAGAGTAAGGATGCTCCTCGAGAGCATGGCACATCACCTGGTACCACTGTAGTAACATCCCTATGAATGGAGGAGGAAATGGAGATCCAGAGAATGTGGGGACAGGGATCCCATTTGCACAGTGGGAAAACCATTAACTGGGAAACCCACCTCATTCCATGGGCAAAGGAGGTGGCATGGCAGCAGCGATGCTGGTATGGAGGGATGCAGAACTTCACAAGCAGGATATTCAAAAAGAAACCCCGAGAAGATTCCCTGTCCCCTACAAACCACCCCAGCCCTTATCAGGGAGAGCATTCAGCAAACGATTAACTGAGGACTTCATTAATACTGCTGCAGCTGGGACTGCTCAGGGGCTTAACCTGAAGCATGTGCTCCACCGGCTGAGGGTCTTAATGCACTTAGTGAACATCTGGATACAGCCCGCCCCTTCCAGACCTTTCTTCTCTCCACGGGCAATCAGGTTATCTGGAGGGGAAGGAAGCCTGAAAGCTGACTCTGTCCTTCAGAGCCGCTCTCATTCCTCAGCAGCCCTGGGGGACGATTTGGCAGAAAGGAGCATCGCAAGGAATGTCCCGTGATGGACAGCTCTTAACGGGACACCTCTGCACGCACCCCTCTGCAGAGTGACCACAGATTCAGACCCCAGCCCATCCTCAGCAGCCTCTTGGCATGGAGCAGTGATGCTGGGGCTGAAGGATGCTGCTTCCCCTCCAGACACCTCCGCGCAGGCACGGGTACCTCTGGACGCGCAGGCTCTGCAGACTCCAAGCACCGAGAAATGTTTGACAGAGCAGCGTACATATTCCAAACACTGTTTGATTCATGTTCTAAAGTCCCACTTGCAAGCATACTTCCCCAGCTCAGGCATCAATCACTGCAAATATGTTCTTATAAACAAAGCAATACAGACTGACTGTCTCTTCCACCCCTCACCATGTGCAGGTCACTGGGCAGCACCCTGAGGAGACGCACTTCCCAGTACCTCTGAGCCTCCCTGGAAGATACTAGCACAGGTAGCTAGGAATAAGCAGCAGGAAACCCCTCACTGGTGGCACAATATCACCTAAGGGTATGTATCCCAAAGACAGAAGTATCCGTCATCGCTGTGCTGAGGATGACTTGCTCCTGCTGCACGGCTAGAAGAAGGGTAAAGAAGAAGGGTGTCCATCCTTGAGGTGACCAGGTGTCCCATTGGATCCTCATCTCCATCACTCCATGTCCTCCCAAACACACATCCCTGCCGTAACAGTCAGGGATGACGGATGCCATGGTCAGGACAGAGCATTTCCCATCACCCAAGAGTTCCTGCATGCAGCTGCACACTTAGAAGGGCAACAAGAGCAGATGCCTGATTTCATTTTGTGTTTTAACCTGAATGTCTCATTATCACACCTAATACCTACAAAAGAACCCTCTCCTCAGCACTGGGGACCTGCTGCATGTGGTATGGGCATGGGCAGGTCATGGTTGACTGCTCCCCACCATCACCACACTGTCACCACCAATGATACCCTGCCTGTGTTGCCTGCAGGAACATAGGGTTGTGCTAGGACAAGGCTGTACATGCCTCCACCACCATGAACATCCCAGACCCTATGAGCCCCAGCCCTTGTCACCACATAGGGCACGCACAGATATGGGGCCACCCCTGCTGCCAGCCAGGCACCCCAAGAGTCCTTCCAGGAGCAGTGAGACACGATGGGGATGGTGGTAAAAACATCTGCTCCAGACTCATGGGTTATGGAGACTTTATAAAGCAAACTTCCTTTCCTTATGACGCTCCAGCACAGCACAGGATCCTGCTGATGGGCAGCTCTCGTGCTCCTCATCCCTCTGTTTAGGAAAATTAAATAGGAAAGAATCCAGCAGCGGCGTTTTCCTCCCACTGCACAAGATGGATCAGCACTTGCCACTGCAGGAAAACTGTCCCACTGTGATCCAACCCAGTGCTTTGTCCTGAAATGCTCCACTACAGCGAAATAAATGACTCCTCTGGAGCAGGGTGACACATTCCAGCCCCAGACAGTGACACTGACAGATGCAATCAGCCTGCGAGGTTTAATGGGAACATGGCACTGGCAATAGGAAATTTACGAGGAATTTGGGAGAGGAAAAGGAAAACCAACAGCGTTTGCTGGTGTGGGAGGGAGGAAGGTCCCAGTGGGGCAGTACTGTGGGTGATTTGGTGACAGAGGCCTGGCTGCAGGGAGGGAACAGCACCATAATGGGACTAAAAAGGAGTCCTGGCACTGTCACCCATGAGCAAGTGATCAAGAGGTGACATCGTGGCCATCTGCATGGGAAATTATTATCCCTGTTGTCCCAGCATGACTCCTATCCTGCTGCTGAGCACACGGAGCTGCTTTTCCAGAGCAGCAGCATTGCATCACTGGGTTTAAGCATGCTCAAGTGCTCTCAGGTCAGTGCCATGCATCCATGGCACAAAACACATCCAGCAATTGGTGGATGGGGCTTGGAGCAAGCTGCTCTAGTGGAAGGTGTCCCTGCCCGTGGCAGGGAGCTGGAACTGGATGAGCTTTAAGGTCCCTTCCAACACAAACCAGTCTGGGATTTCCAGTGGCTCAGGTTCATACAGCCAGGGCTGAGCACCAGCCTGCTCACCGCACAAGCTCCCCATTCCAGCTGGAGCACTAAGGCAATGGACTGTTTGGACACAATATTCCAGGTTTTCCTCCCCATCCCCGTCAGCAGGACGGAGGGGCTCTATCAGTCTACATCTTGCCTGAGCCAGCCCGGCACCAGCCCTGATGGCCGGAGATATCACCAAGTGGCTCAGCCACAGAGCTCCAGGGGGACAATTAGAGAGGAGACAGCTCCTGCTGCACCCAGCTGCCTTCCCAGGGCTGGGGCCTGCCGGGATGCTCCGGGGGGCTGCACTGCGTTGGGGTATTTCCCCATAGAGAAAGACAGCCCTGCCACAGGTCCTGTGTCTTACAAGGCACCGCTGCAAGGGCAGGAGAGGGGAGAAAAATGCCTCAGTGCTGCAGGGAGATTTACAGGGCTTGTTATCAGCACAGGAAGAGCCAGAGCTTAGGGGCAAACGGGAGATGCTTTGCCTATTGCGATATTTTTTCCTACCGTGCTCTGGCCTGTGTGAAGTCAGGCAGCACGCTCAGCTCCATTGCTTGCTTGCCAGCGAGCTTCATGTGAGCCCTTTCGCCTCATGCCTCTGCTCACTGAGCCCAGAGCAGCCCTGTGCATTAGAAGAAGCAGTCTGTGTTTAAGTGTGCTGCCCGTAAGTGCAGCAGAGCCGCTGGTGTGGCCACACGTTAAAGCCCAGATTGCTCAGATCTCCACATCCAAAGCATTCGGGTCTCAGCAGCTGCTTTTAACTGGGAATGTGGTTTGTAACCACAGCCAGGACCAAGAGAAGGGTGGTTACAGGATTCTGTGAGTCTTCCCAGACCCACTGCCCACCTGCATCTCACACCAGCATCACCACATTACCCATGGGTCAGATCCTGGGGTTTATATCCATGAGATCTCCAGGATGTGGGCAGCTTGGGAATGAAAGTTTTATTCCTGGTGAGAAGGGATGCTCCCTGAGGATCATGCTTTGTGCTCATTTAAACCCCCTGCAAATACATGGGGGAGCACAAGGTGATAGGGAACCAGTGGGATACAGGGGGCACATTCACTCACTATGGATGTGTCTGAGAGAGGGGGAAAAACGACTTCCTCATCCCATATATTAAATAATAACATCCATGTGAAGGAAAGCAAGGTCTGAGTGAGTGAAATGCGCCCACAAATGCCTTTATCAGGCAGAATCAGAGAAAGATCTGCTGCAGCGCGGGAAGCGAGTGCGCTGCTCACAGGAGACCCAGCCCATCTAGGGTTTCGGCTCTGGTTAATGACACTGCAAATTAAGCCTGTCATCTTTAGACATGATGTTTCTTGCCGGTTTGGCTCAAGAAAACCACCACCACCCTCTCCAATGGTGGTTTCACAGCAGCGTGGCCCCTTCCCTCCCTGTCCCCTCCTGAGGGAAACCATGGCAAGGAGCAGTGCGCATCCAGAAGGATCCCAGTTCCCCTTATAAAGGCAGGTTCATGTAAATCCATAAGTAATAACAATTTTTACCTGATTTCACAGATGTTGAGCTGAGCAGGCTGGGAAGGTCTCACTGGGCCTGCATAATGGGGGCAGCTGCATGTCAAAAATCCATTGCAGAAAACCCTGGGATAGAAATAATTGTCCTTAAATCACAGTCTGATGATGCCACTAGCAGAAAAAGCAGCACCATGTATATAGACACAATGTATATGTATGTAACATATATATGCACAATATATATATACACATAACCTATATGTTGTGCATATATATACACAAATATTCAATATATAGTATATATAATATATACACAAATAAATATATATTAAAATATGTGAGGATTGCTCGTGTGTATATCACTGGCTGAGGAATTACTGAGCTTTTTCTTTCTGTGCTGTAGGGTAACATGGAGCCAATGAAGAATAAAAGGGCTTTATGAAGCTCTTGATGCTGCGTTGTAGAAGAGTTTTTGCTTGTCATAGAGTAAGTGTCCTCATCTCCAAAGGGATGGGCTCTTTTGAGAGCCCATAGGAGCCCTGGGGACACTCACAGCAGGGATGAACACTGCTCCAAAAACTCCCCCTGCCAGAACACACCCTTACAAACCTTCATCCAGATGGAAAATACACCGTGCTGAAGTTGGAGATGCTTCCCCGTCCGGGACAACCAGGATTTGCCCTGCAAAACATCCCTGGAGCTGCTCCATCACCAGCACTGCAGGCAGGTTTTGCCACATTTCTAAGGGGGCTCTTGGAATTATGGTGTAAAACAACCCCTTTTTGTCCAAACGAGATGCTTCCTGTAGAAACGGCTGGTTTGGGTTGTGTGCTTTTTACTTTGATGGCTTCTCAAAGGGCAGAACTGGTTCGCACGAAGCTGCTCCAAATGTTTCCAAGCAAAGTCTTAGAGAAAACTGGAGTTTCACTTAAGCGTGTTTTAATGGGGAAGGCTTGTTTTTCCTTCATGTTCACTGCTCTGCTTGGGAAACAGGGAGCCAAGAGCAGAAATGTCTTCAGCTCAAAGCAAACTATTTTGTTTCAGTTTTGAGGACTGGGGTGGGATCGGCATTTTTATGGGAGAAATGTTTTTTTTCCTTCCAAAAAAGCTCCATTTTAAAAGTTTCCTACACCAGAGGGTGTTAGGAGGAGTTGCGTATTGATGTATGATAAATAAAGTCATTATTCTCTGCAGGTCTGGATTCACATTTCACAGCACATCCATATCCCATGACTCCCTGAAAGCCAGCTCCATGGCCCACACTGACAATACAACACCCCATGCATTTAAGCCTTTCCCCCCCCCAAACATCCCCACCACCATTCTATGCCCATGGGTTCCCCAGAGGCAGTGATACCAATGCACTGGGTGCTGGATCCCAGCTTGGGATAGGGGAAACTGAATCCTTGGGGGCAAATTTCCACCCTGAACCCAAACAACAGGCTGTCAGGATGATGGGAGCGAGACTGGGGCAGCTTTTATAAATAATTATCATAATTTCATGAAAAAGTTGTTTTCTTGCCCCAAACCGCCCATACTGGGATACAAGGCCAGGGGAGGGAAGGCACAGAGTGTGTCCCCAGCACAACATGGGGCTGGCAGCTCTGCAATGCATTTGGGATGGTGTATTTTGGGAGCACATTCCAGCGCCGGGATGGCGGCTTCAGCAGAGCCCAACCACCCTCCCAGGCTACACTGTGTTCCCCATATAACACCCCCATACAACACTAGCTTCCATGGGCTGTGCTTATAAAAGCTGGTGTGGCTGGATACAGCCCATGGCCAGCAGCAGCTTTGTGTGAGAAGATGCTGTTTTTAATGAAAGAAACAGATTTCCAGGATTCCCCCTTTATCTCTCTGTTTGGTTGGGGTTGTATTTTTTTGGTGGGGGCATAAAGCAAAACCCAAGGAAATAACAGAAACAACTGACCCAAAACTTGCATTCCAAAAATGAGGCTATTTGCAGCCCCAGTCTGATCGCAGGCTGCCCTCTTGTTTCTGCCACCTTCCACTTATAAAACAGGGGAGAAAAAGGGTGGAAAAAAGCACTAAAATGGCTTAAACCCTCCATCCCCTGAATAATTTTCAGTTGCAGACCCAAAAAAGTGTTAACAGATAGCTGTTAATTTTAAAACCCACCTCAATCTGCACAGAACAAACCCAACCTTGATAAAGCCATCTTGCAACTCTCTATAACCTGATGGCCAGTCCAGTGGCTGCATGGACCTCTTGGGATACAGCGAGGAGAACCAAAGGAATACCAGTCCTTGGAGCGGGGTAGCTCCTGCACCCAGGGACTTGGAAGTCCTGGGATTTTGGAGAGCTGGGGATAACGGTATGGTGAAACACCATTAATTGTCCTCATTCTCCCACCCTAGAAGCGCTGGGAAGGCAGAGCCAGACACAGCACAAGGCACTGCACAATGAGAAGTGAAGCTGCCCCCAAAAACTTACAGACAAAGTGAATAAAAACCCCCAGGTAGATCCGCGTGGAGAGGAGGGCAGGAAGTATGGATGCTGGGACATGGTCCCACCATAGGGAAGGATGCTGCTCTCTGGCTCTGGCTGCTCCCCAGTGCCAGCGCTTTGCATTGAGCCTGCAGCACAGTGGAGCCTTATTAGAGCATCCCCAAAGAGTCTGGTGGCCTGGACCACTGTCACCAGCTTTCTCCCATGGCAAAGCCTATTACCTACAATGCACACATGGCTGTGTTAAGACACAAGGAGTCCAGCCAATGAGCCAGGTCAGTCCCTGTGCCAAGAGGGGGACAAAGACACATCTCACCTCACAACCCACCTCTCTTTTCCCCACTGGCACATCAAGATGACCTGAACCTGCACCCACGAAGGGGAAGTTGGAAGCATTGGTCCCAGCCCTACCCCATCCAGCGCCAGCAGTTTGTCTCCAGCTATGCCCCAAACCAGATGCTTTAGACAACGCCAGGAACTGCCTTAACAAGCGCTTATGCAATGCTTCTCACGCGGAGGAAATGTCTTTCCCAATCCCCAGCCATTAGCAGTTGGCTGATGCCCTGGAGCAGGACATTTTAGAGCCCTTGTAAATTTGCTTCAGGAGTGGAAAGTGGACGGAGCAGGGGAAGGTGCTGGTTTCTGTCAGGGAGCTCTTCTCCGCTTCTCCCCATGCATGGAGAGCTGCCACCATGGGTCAGCACTTAAACCACAAGTCAAGGCATCAGGGAATGACGGTGGCATCTCCCGCCCCCCAGCCACAGGGCGTTGGGGGGGGTCAGTGTTGGTCTCAGCAGGGAATCTGAGTGGGGAAAGAAGAGGCTTTAGGGCAGAAGCATGACTCCTGCATCAGCGCAACAGAGAGGTCAACTGGGGCTCTCCATACACGTGCATCACCTACGCTACCAGTCAGAGCTCACAGTCTCATTTCTTCCATCATCTTCAATTCTGTGTCCATGATGGGTACCGCAGATACTCCCTCCATGGCAGGTACAGCCTCCTTCTGCTCATTTCTATGGCAATCAGATGAGGGAGCAGCACTGTTTCAAACAGGGCACCCACACCAGCTTGGAGCAACGATTCTAGGGCTGGTTCCAGGGGTGAGGCTGCTGTTCCCTTCCCTTTGCCTATTGTTTGCATCCAAACCTAATTGCACATTGACATAGGCTGTCTTTGGGGAGCCCCGATCTGCTCCACCAGCACAATGAGCCCTTGTTGATTCAGCCCCAGCAGTTTCGCAGGTTAATTTATGGCCACCACGCCCCATTAGCGGCAATAAACGTGGAGCCCGGTTTTGCCCCAATTGTGAGTTACGGTTTTTCAAATAAATACATTTTTTCCTATAAACCAGTGCTCTGTTTAGCTTGAGTGTTCCTCACAGGCACATCCATCTACATAAAATACACAGGAGAGGAAGCCGAGCTGTGACTTTGTTCTGATGACATAAAAACTCTGGTAAACACAGTGTCATTTACAGCACCAGCAAAGAGAGAGCACCAAAAATAACCAGTGAGGGCCTGGCACATCCCTGCATGAAAAAAATTAATGCTTTCTTTCCATAAAGCTGTTTCCCTTTTGATTTATCCAGGCAGGGCAATGGCTGTTTGGCCATAAATAGGTTGTATTTCTTGAGAGGCAATGGTTGCAATCATCCGTTGTGTCGCCGGAGGGGCGGCACAGGAGGTGTATGTACAGTGATGCTGTGGATTGATGCAGGGAACAGGAGCATCAGGGCTCAGCACACCATGGGTACCCATCCACCCCAATTCCTTCTGTTTCTTTGGAGGGGCTTTAACAGCCTGCACCCCACTGGGCGTCGCTTGTGTGATGTTGTTGTAGGATCAAGGACCAGTGATGTACTTTGGGGGGACTCAGGTGTGATTTCCCCTGCATCGCAATGGTCCTCCTGCCCTGACAAGACCTATACTGGCACAAGACACATGTGGCAAGACATCCAGGAGGAGGGATGTCCTGAGTGGGCCTTTACAGCTCTAATGCTCCTAACCCAGCCTTGGCCATGACCCTAAGGTTGGGTTCATTGCCGATCCAATTGACCTGATTTCCCTTCTGCATGTTCTCTCACTCCTCACATCACCCCAATGAAAATAATATCCCCCCCCCCCCCCGAGCAGCCCCACACGTAATGCTGACCCCACAGCCCTCCCATTGAAGCAGACTCTGCTCATGCCTCAGTTTCCCAAGGCTTTTTGCAACCATTCCCCCAGGCCTCTGGGATCAGAACTGTTAGGAAGGTGCTGAGTGATTATTATTGCATTATTTCGGGCGAGTGCTATAAATACCCAGGGGCACCTTTAGACACAACCCAGCTGCCCGGGGGGGCTGGCTCAGCCCTGTTCTGCTGTTGGAGAGGGGGGTCGGCATGGTATCAGGGTACCTCTGAGCATAACCTGGTGGGTTACCCAATGGGGTACCATAGGGTGTTGGGACTGGGACCTTTCTGGCTGTACCCTGTGGTGGAGCCTGAGGAGGGGGGATGTGGGTGCAGGAAGGTGCCGGGATGCTGCAGGGAAGACAAGGAGAATATTTTACGGGGCTGCAATGTAAACAGAGCTGGAGCAGAGCCCCTTTTTATGGAGTCCCTGTCCTGCCAGGGCATCTGCCAAGGCACTGATTTACACTCCTATTTAGATAAGGGAGCCAGGGCTGGGGCCGGGGCAGGAGGGAGCAGAGCTGGCGTCAAAGTCACAGGACACCCCGGGCTGCTGGGCACTGATAAGGAGGTGGCCGAGGGGCTGAGGCCAAAACTATGGCTCCATCCCAGGGCAGGGAATGGATGTGGATCCATCCCACTGGAACTGGGGTACAGAGATCCGGGATAACCTCACCCCCCAACATGTGCCACTGACACCCCCGTCACCATCATCGAGGGTCAGGAAATCTTTCCCTGGGAAGGATTTGAAGGAAAACAGGTGGAGAGAAACGTGGTTCCTCCCACCCCACCAGCTATAAATCCCCTAATCCGAACCGCTTGGCCTTCCTCCCCCTGCACAAGAAGGGAGAAGTGAAATTAAAGAAACTCACCAAAAGTTGGAGAAGTGCTAAATTTGGACGCCATGACCAAGGCAGCCTGGTTTGATTTAGAAGCTGCCGGTGTGAAAAGGGCTCTGGTTTCATTATTTTATTAAAACACGAAAGATTAGAATGATTTTCCAAAGGAAAATCAACCCACAGGTCCCACTATTTGCTCAGCTGAGCACTTCCAAGCTGTGCGGGATCCAGGGACCTTGAAGGGTGGGGAATAAAGCAAGATAATGCCCGGGCTTGGGCTGTGCTTACCTGGCTCAGAGGCTGGAGGTGGCTCCGGTGCACAGCTCTAGGCAATGGCTCCAAGCTGGACGTGGCTGTGCAGTGCAGGGCTATGGGGATGGAAGGGCTGTTCTGGGGGCAAAGGGGGTGCTTTGCAGGAATGGGGTTGGATGGCACAGACACCAGCCTGTTTTTTTGCTAGATCAGGGCTTATACAAGGATGAGGAAAGGTTCAGTGAGGAGCTTGGATAGTTTATGAGAGGGAGCAAGGCACTGCAGGTGATGCTCTGCTGATACGGAGGGGTGAGGGATGAAGGGAGACCTCTGAACCTCTTTTAGACAGGCAGTGGCCCCCACCAGCTTTAAGCTGGGCTCAGGGATCCCACCCAACTGTGGGTGTTCTGGAGGCAATCAGGGACACAACACCCTGCCCAAGGCCTGACTCTAACGAAGAGTAATCACTAGCAAATGTTTGCAGGGCGCTTGTTTAAAGGGGGTGGGAAGGGGGGGGTGGGCTTTGCAGCAGCTAAGAACAAAGCAGGGGGGAGCAAGGTTGGGCAGATCCATTATGGCCGCTTCCCCCCCCAAGCCCCCTGGCTGCCGGAGACCCCCTTGCACCCTGCCCCAGCCCCCCCCCCCCCCCGGCCTCCTGCCTTTGCAGCTCGCCTTGTAACAGCTAACGATGGAAAATCCGAGGCATTTAAGTGGCTCCCGAATCCGCCCGGGAACCGTGATTGAGAGAAGTCAAATAAAATTTGTCATCTTTAAAATGCAGGAGGACGTTAATGGTGTGTTAGCCCGGATGATTAATACAAGCGCCTGCAAACAACCCTCCAACGTTTCCACCCTCCGCTGCAAGATGAATCGCTGCAAAGCGCCGTTAATCGCTAACATACCTCGGGCCCGAAGCCCCTTCCTGCCCCGCCGCGCTGTGATCGCCACCGCCGTGCCCAGTGTCCGCGCTGGGAGTAATGGGAGTGAGAGCAGGGGTCGTTCCCAATGTCAGCCGACGGAGCGGGGTCTGGGAGGCATCACCCCAGGGATCTGCATCCCATGGGTGCAGGGGTGAGTGGGATGTGCTGCCCACTGCAGGGCCCCATGCTGGGTTTGGGGCAGCATCAAGTACAAGATCCCAGCCCCGACGGGGACCCCCCCATCCCTTTGGTGGCCAGGCTGGGACATGGGATCACAGGGCAGGGCCCCACTGCTCTGTTGTAAGTGTATTTGTGTGTGTGGACAGTATAATCTCTATATATTTATGTATGCATGTGCAGTGTCTGTGCATGGCTGTGTAGTGTATGTGTGTTTATATGCCATACATCCAACATGTGTGTGTGCATGCACAGCATGTGTGTGCATGTAATATAAGTATGATGATATTGTGTGTGTACCATATGTGTGCTGCTGGTGGATGTACATACTATATATGGGTGCAGTTAAGTGCATGTGTGTGATCTATTTGTAGTGTGTGTGTGTGTAGAGCACAGACAGGAATACAGTGTGGGCACATCTCTATGTTTGTGGGATGTGCAGGCAACACATCCAGTGTGTCTGAGTAACATATGTGTGCTCTAACTGCATACATGTGCTGTACATGCGTGTAGTGTGCATCTGTGTGCATCATAGCATCCGCACGCACACAGGGCATGCATGGGCAATGCACCCCATGTGGAAGGAGCACGCCCTGCCCTCACCCTGCCATGCCCAGCCCGTGGTCTCCCCAGTGCCTTCTCCTGCCCCTCTCCTCCATCACCCGTGAGGTTGCTCATGCCCGGCTCGGGGTACTCCAAGCCCCCCGCACTGCCTGAACGCCGTGCCCTGGGATCGGGGAGGGGATGGAAGTGCGACGGGGCAGGAATTGTGCTCCCCCCCTTGGGTCGCTCCGCACCCCCTTCTCCTTGCAAGCAGGGAGCAAGCGGGGGACGAGAGCGAACAGCGGAGGTGTGAGCCCAAATAAACCGACTCGACAGAGCGGCGCACGCCCCCTTCGCCGCCTGCTCCCCCCGGGGCCCCCGAGCATCCTCCCCTGCCCATTGGCTCCGCGGCGGGGGGGGCCCGGCCCTATATAACGTCTGGGAGGCCTCAGAAGGGGTTAATAGGGAAAAAAAAGAAGGAAAAAAACCCCACCCCAACAAACCCAAAACCCCAAACCCCGTCCGCCTCAGCCCAAACCCCAAAGCTACCACCACCACCACCACCGTCACCGCAGCCCCACGCCGGAGCCGCCTCCCCGCTGCCCTCCCGGCGGGGAGCCCTTCCCGGCTATGGTGCGCTGCTGAGCGCGGCCCCCGGGGCCAGCGGGGCGGACCATGAACCTGGTAGGGGGCTACCAGCACCACCACCATCACCACCACCACCACCACCCCATGCTGCACGACCCCTTCCTCCTCGGGCCGGCGGCGCGGTGCCACCAGGAGCGAGCCTATTTCCCCGGCTGGGTGCTGAGCCCGGCCGAGGTGACCCCCGAGCTCCCCGGCCAGAGCCCGAGTTACGGCGCCGCCGAGTACGGCCCTGCCGGCCCGGGGCGGCTGGAGGCTCTCAGCGGTCGCCTGGGCCGGAGGAAAGGGGTCGGGGGACCCAAGAAAGAGCGGCGGAGGACGGAGAGCATCAACAGCGCCTTCGCCGAGCTCCGAGAGTGCATCCCCAACGTGCCCGCCGACACCAAGCTATCCAAGATCAAGACCTTGCGCCTGGCCACCAGCTACATCGCCTACCTGATGGAGGTGCTGGCCAAGGACAGCCAGCCCGGGGACACCGAGGGCTTCAAAGCCGAGCTCAAGAAGGCCGACGGCAGGGAGAACAAGAGGAAAAGGGAGACGGTAAGAAGCGAGTCGGGACCCCGCTGCCCAGGGCCGGGAGCGGGCAGGGAAAGCCACGGGGCTGCGGGAAAAACGCCCTTCCCCGTCCCGCTGGAGCCCTTCTTTTTACCAGCTTAAAATCAAACACCCAGGGGCAGGAGGGAAAGCCCATCCCGGCTCCCGGCCGCTTTCCCCAGGGATGAGCCCCCGGTCCCTCCGTCCCCTCTCCCGGCCGCTTTCCCGGGAGGAGCGGGCGCATTTTGGGGCAAGGGCGGCCGCTTTTCTCCCGCCGCAGCGGGCGGAGTGCAGGGATGGGAACTCCAAAAACCTCCTTTTTTATCCTCGGGCTGGTAGGAACCGCGGGCTCGGCTGAGCCCCGAGGCGGGCACAGGGTGCCCGGGCCCCCGCTCCCTCTGACCGCTCCTTTCTCCCCCTTCTCCCCGTCTCCTCTCCCGCAGCAGCCCGAGGTCTACTCGCAGCCTTTGGGCCACGGCGAGAAGAAGCTGAAGGGCCGGACGGGCTGGCCCCAGCAGGTCTGGGCCCTGGAACTGAACCCCTGAGGGCTTTCCCACGACGGCGCTCCCCGCTCGCCCCTCCATGTGCAATGCCGGAGAGAGCCCGGCCCGGCCCCCGGAGCCAGCCCGGGCCCTGTTGCCCCCGCCGAGGCCGATGCTCCGTGGGAGACAAGCGACGGGCGCCCTGCGGGGCCGGATCCTGCCTGTCCCGTGGGCACCGGGGGCCGGCCGGGCCATTCCCTCCCTCGCCCCTTCCCCTGTTTGCAGTAATCGTTGCTCCTTCCCGCTGCCAGCAGCGATCGCCGGCTCCTGCCCCCCCTGGCCGGGCAGAAGCGGTTTAGTTCGTTTGCTGTTGTAAATACGAGCCCCGAACCCCGTCCCTGTCCGCTGCCTGACCGACGTGTGGCTGCGGTGAAACTACCTAGAGGTGCATTTGGGAACACTCCTGTGCCGGGTTTTCTACCTCAGATCTGCATGACCACTTCCCGAGGGACCGTGCGCGCCGCACCACGTATTTAAAACGGAATAATTAACAAAACCATGAAATAAAATACAAACTCTATGCAAACAGCCTCGGCTCCGACCCCTGCGCCCGCCCCGCCTGCTCGCATCCCGCTCTTTGCCAGGATTACGGATCCTGCGGGATTAAGGACTCCCCTGAAATCAATACCTTGCTATGGGGCCGATCCATGCGAGGGAATTCCCTCCCGTGGGATCCTTTGGGACTTGTTCATGCTGTGCTTGCTCACCCCAGGAGCTGGTGGGCTCTGTGAAGGGTACCCACTCTTCATTCCAGAGCACAAAACTGCCCCTGCCTTACAACCCCTTTTCCTCCTCACCCTGGAGACCTGCTAGAGGGACCGGACTTGTATTTGGCATGGGGAAGGATGGCAGGATCAGGCCTTTACAGCGTCTGGATGGTGCGAGCACCGCGGAGCTGTGGAGCCCGTTTTAATGCTGCTGAGTGTAAATAACCAGGGCTCGGCTCCCTTCCCTGCCCCAGCAGCTCCTGACTCCATTCTCACAGGGATCCCCTCTTAGCTGCTGCCTCGGCTGCATTTTGAAGGAGCAACATTCCCCCCTCACCAGCAAACACATGGATACCACCAGCCTCAGACACACCAACGCTCGTGCAGCCCAAAGTCCTCTCTGTCACCTCTTAAGCTTAAATCCTTAATAATCCTTAATGGTTAAAGCTGAACCCTCGTTTCTTTATGTTGTACACACTCAGCTCTGTTACCCAGCGCTTCCCAAATGCACTCAGGGCCTGATCCTGCCTTGCCATGCCGCTGGTCCCAGGGACACCAGGAGAGACCCTGACACTCATCCAGCTGCTCAGGGCAAAGAGAACCAGCACGGGGTTGGAAGGTTAATCCGAGGGCTCCGCGGGGAGCATTTACATTTTCTATTTGAATCCCAGCTTTTGCTTACGTCTAAAGGTATAGAAATAGTGATACAACATCGGTAGATCACTGATAGGTCCATCAATCTGTGCGTGTGGAGCCACACACACCAAAAACACAGCAGCTCGCCAGTGGGGAAGCAGCTCGGGGTTTGTAACTACTTTGTGTGTGTGTACAAATACAGACCGATGGACACACAAATGCTTTGGGATGCAGTTAAAGTTCCTTGAACAATCAGGCTGTGGGAATCAGCCTCCTCGTGTTCGGGAGCTGCTGCACCGCTGCTTTCCCGATGTGGTTTTTGATCCCTTTGAATGAGGTGGAGATGAGGATGGACTGACTGCCTGAGTGCAGCAGTGCCGCACTGATGGGGTTTCAGCTTTGTTTGGGCTATAAGAAGTTCAGCACGGCACCAAAGCCATGAGCGGATTTAGAACAGGGCATTCCTAAATGCAAATACATTTAAAGGGGAAAAAAAAGAAGGAAAAATAAAATGCAGAAAATAAGCCTCAAATATCCTATTTTGTGGGTGGGTTTCATGGTCCCTAAAAGTGCTGGGCTTTTACAGGAAGGCTCCCAAGCCATCGCTAACACTAATTTAGCACACTGTAAATATGTCCAGCACCAATCCTGGTTACATCTGCCTGTATCCCTGCATCCGTATGGCATCGGTTTGGGGCTGCTTTCATCAGATAAGACAAAGGGTTAATGGGGGGACCTAGGATTTGCTCTGCTGCATGAGGCTGGGGGTTCTGCACAGGCGTTGGTGCCCTCAGTCCCGGCACACCACAAACATGGTTTGCAGCCTGTGGACCTTCCTCTATCTCACTGAGAACCTCTGGTGTTTTTTCCCTATGAGTTTCCAGCTTTCCTTCTGGAAAAGGGGCACCCTGCAGAGCCTGGCGATGCTCTGCCTGCATCCATCGGCTGCTGTTTTTCTTACCACCAGATTCTGGTGGTGGTACCTGCTGGTAAACTTCTGGGGAAGTCCACACCAGCCTCCCTCACTTCGTTGTGATTTTGGAAGGGAAAACACCCTCTCTGTTTCCATCTGCAGAGGAATTTCCTACCCATCAAGGGCATTTTCCTGCAAGACACCGGCGCAGCGTTTTGGGGTAGGATGGGTGAAAAAGAGCACTGAGCAATTCCTGTTCCCTGGGCTTTGCCGCTCCCAAACCCCCATGCTTTAGAAGCGGTTTATCTGCAAGCAGTGAGCTCCATCCCTGCCTCATGTCTGGGGCTGGGAAGGGTGTTGATGCTGAGCTCAGCAGCTTAGGATGGGGTCACCCCAAAGGGAAAGGAGCTGCACGGGGGTGGGAACTGTGCACAGGGACAGCTTCCCTTCCTCAGGCAGCAAACCCGTGCAGCTGGGAGCTGCATCCCTGCAGCATCCCGGCAGGCAGGAGCAGGGCTCCCGGGACCGGCTGCATCAATCCCGAGTGGAAGAAGAACAGTTTGAGCACCAGCTTTGAGGTTTTGGCCGTCTGAAAGCCTCACTCATCACCAGGGGAGGGGGCTCAGCACACAGCTACAGCTCGACCCTGCCGTGAACTTGATGCCGTTGGGAAGCAGCGCAGCTCCCGGCACGCAGGATTCAATCTGCAGTTGCCTGGATGGAAGCACACGCACACAGGGATCACTTGGCCCCGGGGCAGCATCATACGTGCCGTGTCCCCTGCCACTGGAATCCAGCTGCGAGGGTCCATGGAGGGGACCCTGCTGCCCTGCTTGGCCATGGGGCTCTTCCCACCCCTGCCGTTTACGTGCAAAGAAGTGCCCCCCCCCCCCCTTTTTTTTCTCTCCCCTCCCTTCCTGCCAAGCCCAGTCCCTGCTTCTTGTTGTTGTAGGTATTTATGGGCCTGTTTATCTGATCTCGGGGGAGCCTATTCTTATCTCGGGAGCAGCAAGGGAAGGGTTACACTGGACAGCTCGGTAGACAGAACGGAGCCAAATAAAATACCAATCTGCCAAAAAAAAAAAAAAAAAAAAAAAAAAGGAGGAAAAAGAAAAAAAGAGAAAAAAGGGAAAGAAACCCCCAGCCCCAGCCACCCGCTCGGAGGGCACCCACAGCAAACCTGCAGGGCCGGGAGGCTGTCCCATATCGCTGCACAGCTCCACGGGATGATCCTGGAGGAGACCTGGCTCTGCACACACTTTCCATGAGCAGAGGGGCTGGAGCAGCAGATCCCAGATGAGCACAGACTGGGGCCCAGCTCAGTGCATGTCGGCTCCCAAAACAGCTGCCGCTAGGGCAGAACCCAGGCAAGAAACACCCTCACACAGCTTTAATGTCACTGGAATAAGGGAAGAAAAAAGACATGTTTAATGTTTCATGTTGTTGTTACAGCATTATGGCCGTGATGCTGCTGCTTGTCGCTTCCTTGGGCTGAGCGGGGAAATGTCCCTGCTCTGGATGAGAGGTCCCCAGACATGAAGGTCATGGCCAGGGGCAGGGCTGCTGTCTCCCATCACCGGCCTCTCTGGCCACTGACATGGGGCTGGTGGAGGAATTTGGGTGGGGGGAACCCCTGGACACTGCCTGGACTGTGCTGTGGCCCCTCCGGAGCCCAGGGGTGCAGCATGGCTGGGCCAGAGTAAGTAGGTTGGATGGGGTGGGATGGGGATGGATGGGATGCCCCCTCCAGCCATGGCAAGCGGGGGGGACAAGGGCCAGCCCTATGCTAGGGCTCCCCCCAACTCTAATTACCCCTGCTTAAGGAAGCGCCTGATGGTTCTGGCCATTTAAGGTAGCCCCAGCCCTGCTCAGCAAGCGTAATTGGGCTATAATTTGTTTTCGGTGTCAAGATGGCGTCAAAGATAAGACAAAAATCTCCAGGTTTGGGGGTTAAGGAGACAGGAGAAATCCTGACCCAGGGCCGACCTCGGAGGAACGGCCACAAGCCCCAGTGAGTACCACAGCAGGGGAAAGATTTACTGCCAGGGGAGCTTTTTGATCCTCTCAGCCCAGGCGCTGGCTCCCAAGGCAGGCTGTCTCCTGGGAGCACTGCTCTGGTGGGGAGGGTTTTCTGGTTCATGACATGCAATAGCTCTTCCTTGAATCTCCGTGCTTCTGGAGTCATGGAATCGGAGATCTATGGAAAGAGAAGATGAATTTCCAATCTGTAGAAAGATGTCCAAGCATGGCAAGACTGGAAACACCAGGGAGACGAAGCCTCCAAATTGTTTTGTCCCTTCTTTTTATATTACTTTTTAAACCATATCCAAACTCTCCGGGTTTTCACACTGTGGCTGTCCCTACTTGGGGATGCTAGCACTAAAAGGCCTTTTCCTCAGTGCAGGGTGTTGGGAGAAGTGGGTATTTATTCCTCTCACAAGTGCTTGGTGTGGGGTTAGCAGAGGTGCTCACCATGGCTTTCTGCAGAGTGACCCATCCGTGTCCTGCTCTGTGGTGGAACGATTCCATTAGCAAGCATCTTCTCTAGCTGCAATGACACTTTGCTGCCGTTTGCCTGGTGATCTTCTCCCTGACATCTCAGCAGAGCCCTTATGTGAAGCTGGTTGGTGTGGGGTGGCACAGCAGCCCACTGGTGTCCTATGCCGTGGATGGAGTTCAGGTCCATGATGGAGTTGGGGCTATCCGTTGGAGGATCAATGCTCCACAGCTCAGGGCAGTGGGTAAAACCAGCCGGGCCCTTTGCTCAGCAGAGCTCTGTGCCATCTCCATGCTGTGTGATGCTGGATGAGCTCTGCCTC